TCTTCCTTTACAACCTAATTCCTCAGAATCCTTCAACATTCTCCTCGAGCTCTCATTTTATTTTTAACTTGTGATTCAATGCAACCCTGTTGTGCAAAGATATATTGAATTGTCTCAGTTGTCAACAACTTCATTAGTATATATGATACCATCTGCTGATCTGAATGGAAAGGCATTGTAATGTTTATTTGCTAGAGAAACTTATTTATAATGCAAAGAATTTGATATATGATAATTGAATACACTCAGTCTTTTGAGGATATTGCTAGGACATGCTAGCTGTAATATCGTTTCGCAAATTGAGCTCCCTTGGTATCAGCAACCCAAACTTCCTCAGACCTTGAATCATTTGCCCGTAACGTCATCCAGTTTCTGTGGACCCAACGGGGCATACCTTGGAGAGTGCATTCTGTCACATTGCTATGTGATGGAATTACTCCATATGATGGGGCCGGGGGGGGGGTGTCCCTGCCCACCACCACCACCGTTTTGTGCAACATGAACAGAATTATGCTGCTCTGCAGTAGTGAAGGAAAAGACCCTTGGGCCAGTTTGGTGTAGTGGTTAAGTCTGCGTGGACTCTAATCTGGGAGAACCGGGATTGATTCCCCACCCCTCCACTTTGAGCTGCTGGATGACCTTGGGCAAGCCATAGTTCCGTCAGAGCTGTCCTTGAAAGGGCAGTTCCGGAAAAAGCTCTCTCAGCCCCACCCACCTCACAGGGTGTCTGTTGTGGGGAGGGGAAGGGAGAGGAGTTTGTAAGCCGCTCTGAGACTCCAAGTGAAGGGCGGGGTATAAATCCAATCTCTTCTTCTTCTGGCACCAGCAAAAAGTTCAAGGGCCACTGGGAGGAGACACCTAAAGAACATCACAGCACAGGGGAGACACTCCTGGCTCCAGCCACTGGACTGAGAACAAGCAGCTGCAAGAAGTGCCTCCCTGCCAACATGGGGTGGGGCTATGGCTCAGTGGCAGAGCATCTGCTTGGCATACGGAAGGTCCCAGGGTCAATTCTCAGCAATTTCAGTTAAAAAAAGAGACTCTGGAGAGCGACTGCCAATCTGAGCACACAATGTGGACCTTGGTGAACTGATGGCCTGATTCAGTATAAGGCAGTGTCATGTGTCCACATGCCATATTGCCAGAAAGAAATAAGTCTGTTCCAGCTGAACTGCACAGGCAAGAATGAACGAGGACGCTCCTGTAACATTACCTCGAAATGACCCCAGTCTTTAGGAGGGGAAAGCAGTGGCTTTAAACGAAGATGACAGGAGAGGGGCCGATAAGATTCCATCCCATATTTTTAAGCCATTTTGCAGCTCCACCGAAAGAACGGAAGAGCCTCTCTCCAATGTCTGAACAGGAATCTCAGGGACAAGAAAAAGATACAAAGCAAATCGAAGCATAGAAAGAGATGAAGGATAACTAGGGGGAGCCTGGCTTTAAGGGAGCTAAAGGTAACCTTTCTCCCAAACATGATCTGGGGGGCACTGAAGTCCTTTCCCCCTTCCCGGGATACACCAACCGGCTTCCAACGCAGGGACAGTTTTCATCCATAGAGGCTGTCTTCCTGCCGCCATAGAGAGGGGAGAAGGAGAGGAGACTGATGCAAGGACTGCTGTTGAGCACCACCAGTGCAGTCTGGGAAGATGGGGAGAGGAGAAGGAAAGTCCCCCTTTCCACCTCATGGCTCAAACAACATGCACAGAAGAGGCAGCCAGGAATGCATGAGTCCATTTGCTGAGATGCGTACAGGCAGGTAATTAAGAAGCCACAGGTACCCACCGTTCAAGCACTGCTTCTCCAGCCTCTCAAACATCTGGACACTTTGATTGAGCTGCTCGCGGAAGCCCTCAGCAACATAGTAATCTACTTCGCTGGCCTGCAGGAGTTCCTCAAACGCTTTGATCAGGTTGGTCAGGTGTTGGCGGTAAGTCACACAGACGCTGTGGATGGCCTGAATTTTCTGGCTCTGGCTGGAGTGCTCATGCATCAGGGAGAGGACCGGAGTGTCACACCTGAAAGAGAGGGTTCAAGTGGGAAACAAGGTTTTCGAGCTTCACTTGAAAGCCGATGCTAATTCCATTTGGAGGCTAGAATTAAGCCCCCCAACCTTTTTGAGACCGCAGTACCTTTAAGAACATAAGAACATAAGAAGTGCCAATGTTGGATCAGGCCAAAGGCCCATCCAGTCCAACACTCTGTATCACACAGTGTTGGATCCCCAAGCATCGAGAATAAATCCACGTTTTAAAGAAAAGCAAAATTTATTTCAAAGCGTTGAAGACATACTCAAACACGTTCTTTGTTAGAACTGGGGATACACAGTTAGGTCAAGCATAATAAAGGAACTTCAAACAGATACAGATCCAATGAATATCTTTCCCGCTGGCGGGCTAGGGAAACGGTTGCGCGCCCAGTACATGGGAACCAGGCAGAACATCAGACAAAACACAGGTGCAGTAGTCCTGGGAAAATCAATAGGCAAGCATTACAGCATCTTCTCCCCCACACAACCTCCAGCAGTTATCTTTTGCATTCCAAAGCAGGAGCAGGATGATAGAAGCCAAGCCGGGTGTAACAGGGAAAGGATATGTACACAGAGGTCACAGAAAACAGAATGGCAGCTTGCTGACACACAGTGGCCAGAAATACCAGTGCCATCAGGAATTCTTTCTGACACAGCATGGTGTGCACAGGCCAATGGCTGCCACGGAGCTGCCGTGAGAGGCAGAGTCAGCCATAAGGTGCCTACTGCAGCTTAGCTTCAGTTATACAGCGAAGGCCCTTGTGCTGTGGTAGCAGCTCCTGCCAAATCGGCCTTTCAAATCTCCAAAGGCCAATCAGAAGCCTTGCTGGGCAAATGCTTCCCCCAGCCCCTCCTACTTTCTCAAAGACTTGACGGGCATCAGAAATGATGCTGGCAGGTGCCGTGGTGCCAATGGGCACCACGTTGGGGACCCCTGATTTGGACCGTAAGGGAGCAGCAGGGCTGAGATCCAAAGACTGGCTGCATGAATGAGAGGTAAATCGTCGCTTCACCCTCTTCTGCCACTCCTCCTGCCAACTGAAAGGCCCCTGCATGTGAGAAGGACCTCCCGTTTGGTGTAACGTGATATTTGGATCCAAGCCAAAGTCTTGCCCTCCCTTCAAGTCACTGCCAAAAGATCTCTAAATTCCTTAAAAACCAAGCATTTGTTTTAAAAAGATATATTATCCAGAGTCCAGGATTTGCATATTTAGACTTCTTTGCTGCAGAATTAGGAGCTTTTTGTTTTGTTTAAACAGAGCATAAGCAGCTTGGCAAGTTTTTAAAAACGTGAAGAGAAGCCAAGCACAAGAGGCCAGTCAGCTCTGGAGAGCTACCCAAACTGCCTGTTAGAAGTTAGGGAGGAATACGTTGCAGCAGGAAGGGATGGGGTGTGAGAGAACTCCCAGAGTCCATCACATTGGGGGGATCTGAAAGGCCCCGATTCCCAGCATACTGGGTGGGAGAGGAAAACAATATCCCCCCCCCATATTCCATGGGTTATGTGCCCATCATATCTGAAGGGCTGTCATGTAGAAGATGGAGCGGATCTATTCTCTCTTGCTCTGGATTGCAGGACTAGATCTAATGGGTGGAAATTACAAGGGAGTCGATACTGGCTGAATATCAGGAGAAGCTTCCTAACTGTAAGAGTGGCTGACCTGCCTCGGGAGGTGGTGGATGCTCCTTCACTGGACGTTTTCAAGTGGAGGCTGGAGGACCATCTTTCGGGTATGTTCTAGGGATATCTTTCAGCTATGCTCCTGGCAGAGGGCAGGGGGTTGGACTAGATGACCTGCAAGGTCCCTTCCAACTCTAACATTCTATGATTCTATGATCATGAAATCAATATATCTCTCAGTGTGACCAACTCTGTGGATACTTAAATCTGGAGACTGGAGCTACAAATAAACAACACAGCTCTTTCTAAAAACCTGTGAAAAGCCCCAGGTTCACAGAAAGATCTGAATTCTAAAAACAAATACATTGGGAAGTTTAAAAAGAAACACAGTGTCATGGTTGTTGTTGTTGTTCAGTCGCACAGTCAAGTCCGCCTCTTCGCGACCCCATGGACCAGATCACGCCAGGCCTTCCGGTCTTCCGCCGTCCTCTGAAGTTAGCTCAATTTCATGTTCGTTGCATCTATGACACTGTCTAACCATCTCATCCTTTGCCGTCCTTGTCTTCTTTGACCTTCAATCTTTCCCAGCATCAGGGTCTTCTCCAGTGAGTGCTCCCTTTTCATTTGGGGGCCAAAGTATTTGAGCTTCAGTTTCATTATCTGGCCTTCTAGGGAACAGTCAGGGTTGATTTCTTTTAGGATTGACTGATTTGATCTTCTTGCAGTCCAAGGGACTCTCAAGAGTCTTCTCCAGCACCATAGTGTCATGGTACATATCTCTTAAAGCCACACATATTGCTTCTATTATTTTGGAAGTTTTTGATCACGCCAATGGATTTTTTTTAAGATTTCAGATTTTTTTTCTACAAACATACGGCTTCATTCGGTTTTGTGGGGGGGAAATACCACCTATCTGCCCCGACTCCATTGTGTACATTTTCTGATCCACTCAGTTCAGAATTAGATGCAAGGAAAACTAGAATGGCCATCAAAAATCGTTTTAAATATTGTTCTTATTTGCTTCATACTTCACAGAGAATTTAGGAGTGAGACAATGGTGACTGAAATGATATGGTGAGATTGCATAATTAAAGCCCGTTTGATGTCCAGAAAAAAAACCCCCTCTAAAGTAAACCCTCTAAAGCAAATATCCTGTAAAGTAAAGCCAAATCTGTTTTCACTATTCTCTCAATTTTATCAGAAGAATAAATAGAGCAAGGATTTCCAATAATGCATTTCATGAAATATCTTTCATCACCTGATGGATGTTTCTGCTATCATTTATAGCAGAGTAGGGGGGTTTTCCCCATCACATTGTGACATATACTAATAAAAATCATTTTCCTAAACCTAGATGAAGCAAGTAAAATGCTGCTGAGAAACAAAATGGGTACACAAAAGTAGCTGTTTGGTAGATGAGGATTTTTAGAGGATTTTTTTGTTGTTGTCATTGCTGTTCAAGCTGGGATCTTCTGTTGGAAGGGAGGATGCCACAACTAAGAGTGAGGGATCTATATGCACTTAGGATTCTGGATCACAACCAAAGTGTATTAAAATCTGAATGTTGCTTGTACACAGAGTACAATCAACTCATGGTGTCAGCTTCACCATGCTGCAGGTAAACTGCACTTCAGCCACGTAATAGCAACCACCGTGGCAACAGCCAGGAGATTCAGACATGCCAAAGCAATCTCTCTGCCAGAATTGGCAGGATTTGTGGTGTGTTGTTGCCAGTGGATCATCCCTCGCCATGTTATATCTGCTTTAAAAGACGTAAAGAGTAGGAACATCACACTTGATCACCCCTCTAGGTGACCATCTGAACTCTTTTTGTGGCTTCAAGCTAAAACAGGATTGGCTCCAGGAATTTCTCCAGCCCATTCATCATTTGGTTCACAACCCTGAAGGGTGGGACAGAGGTAAAAGCATGAATTATGAATTTGTACTAAGGGAGGATTCACTGTCACTCTGATGATAAGGTCCAGCTGTATCGTGCTTCGTAACTTCATGATGATGATGATGATGTAGGGGGCCTGCCTTCCAGCTGTATCGTGCTTCATAACTTCATGATGATGATGATGATGATGTAGGGGGCCTGCTAAACGAGCAGTGAAACGTTTCCAGCTTATATTAGGTGCAGGCCTTTTCACACTTCATATTCTCATTGGGTGAAATCAAGCTTTATCTAATTCCCTGCTCAATGAGTGTCCAACCAGATGCCACAGAGAACCCTCACAAGTCGGACAAGAAGGTTAGCCATTCCTTCTTGGTGGCCCCTGACATCTGGTAATCACAGGCACACTTCATGAGAAAATGAATGCACTCCTTTACACCGTGACTAGCAACCATTAACCTTTTCGTCTGTCCTCAATGAATTCATGAGACATTAGGTAACATCAGACTGCAATGGGCTGGAACAAGAGAAATAATTTACATGCTGGAATGTATCAAGAGCTGGCTCCTTAGTTAACAGAACCTCTTCTAGCTGTGCCTCCCAAACACTGTTGTCTTCATCTCATGTGAGAATGCCTTCCTACGCTACTTCTCAATATGGATTTTGACGCTAGTCACTGTTTAGCTTAAGAATTAACAGAGGTATGCACAGGCTGTTTCTGACATTCCCTGGAAAACAGAGTAACTGGAGCTACATTGCTTTCCTCCTTCACTGAGCTCCCAGCACTTTCTGGGCTCTGCCAGTAAAAGCAGCAGCAATATCAGTCCTCCCCATACTTATGAACCAATGGCTGACACTAGTGGCCAGAATTGTCATGCTGTATGATGAGGTAAAGCCTCGTTTGTAGTGACAAGGATTCTCTTTTCCCCTTTGCAATGCGAAGGTGGGCGTATATCTCAGGAGGCACAAGGTGTTATCAATGCAAAAGGCAAGACTATGCCCAAAGTCTTTTGGAAATCATGTTAATGAAACCTTTCCAGGCCACATCCTTCCAGATCACTTCACCCAATATGAGCCTTATATAAGCCCTCCCACTGTTATCCCATTGTCAGTCTTACTTATGATAGGCCTCAGGCATTATGGGGCAAAACATGCCATCTTATGAAGCAGGAAGTTATCACCATCACCTCTATGAGAGATGGAAAACCACAGGAGAAACAGGTGCCTAGCTGTCTGAGGCAAGTGCGTAAGGTCTCCATTACCTGGAAAAATTGCACCAGAAGTAAGGACCCTGGAAGACTGCTGATACCTTTGTAAACTATTACAAGTAAGACTAGTTCTTACAACACAACTGTGTTCATATGGGTTATTATCACCTCTTCTTACCATTGTCTGGTAGTCCTGCTTACTGAGACGACATTTGCTGTTTCCTCTCTATGGCCAGTTAGGATTAGGGGTGTGCACTCTAAAAAAACCCTGGCACTTTTCAGGTTTGAGTATATTGAACCTGAAAAATATTGGTTCCCCCTGATATTCCTGAATCCCAATATCCGTATGGTATTGGAATTCGGGAAATATTTGGAATTGCCAAAAAAAATTGGCTGCATGCAGCGGGGAGGGTCTCTCACTGCCACATGCAGAGCTGGCTGGGAGGCTTCTCCTGCCCAGTGATTTAAACTGCAGGACAGCCCCAGGATCTGTGCAGGGTGGGGAGGTCTCTTGCTGCCGCATGCAGAGCTGGCTGGGAGGCTTCTCCTGCCCGGCAATTTAAACCGGAGCTGCAAGACAAAATCAGCTGGGGCCACCTTGGCTGGGACTGGCTTGGGGTCAGGGGTCGTTTCGTAGAAAAAGAGCTAGGGGAACTCATTAGCATAACTCATTAGCATACGCCACACCCCCTGATATCGCCGGAAGTGTGTCATAAGGCCACACCCCCTGACATCACCAGAAGTGTGTCATAAGGCCACACCCACCACTCAGTTAGTCTTAGTCTTAAAGGTTAGTCTCCCCACAACAGACACCCTGTGAGATAGGTGGGGCTGAGAGAGCTCTGACAGAAACAGCTCTTTTTCAAGAACAGCTTGCCAGAACAATATGAGCAATGTCCTGAGTAAATTGTGGAACTTGCCAAAAGTGAAACTGAAAACAAATTTCATAAATACACAGCAATGCCAGGTATCTGGAATCCCACAATTTTTAAAAAATATCAGAATATACAGTGCATATGGACTGATTCACAGAAAAAGACACTCAAAGCCATTTTAAACAGTATATCACTCAACTGATTGAAGAGGCTATTGCCTACTACC